GAATTATCATCTTCCTGTATAGTTTCCCCCTAAGCACACATTTCCCTTTCTTCCAGCAGGTGTTACAGTATCGTATTGTGAAAGAAGTGCATGTTGTGGTTTTACACAAGATATGATTGTGGTTAATTTTTTAATTAAAAACTAGATGTGAGTTTTTGTAAAGCTTCTCAGGCATTTTGTATCACTGGGCTCCTACTCTTAGAGCACAATAATAGAGAGCTGAATCTGACAGAGTTACACTCTTAATAGTGAATTCAGTGGATGTTTCTGATGTAATCGACTGAAACCGAGTGTTTGGTATATTTCCCCGACTGCTCCATGTCCGGGCACCTTTATACAGTAAATATTCTGGTTCTCTATTAGGATACTGTCTGTACCAGTAGAGATAGACATAATTGCTGCCTGTATCATACGTGCAGCTCAGCGTTACACGCTCTTCTTCTGTTCTGTAAATAGTAGTTTCTTTGTCTTTTGGTTGAATGCTGTCAGATAAAATGCCTGCAAGAGAATTGGTTTCTTTGTCTTTTGGTTGAATGCTGTCAGATAAAATGCCTGCAAGAGAATTGGAGAGATTTCATAACAGGTCAGTTGGATTGTCCGAAAATTCATCACATTTAAAATTAAACTGACAATAATAAAAACTGTTTCTTCAAAAATTATGTCGTTACTGTAATAGAGTAACATTACAAAAAGTTTGCATGGCCAAAACATTTGTTAATTACATTTGAGTCTGCTCAGATTACATGTTTTATACCTGGTGTGAATATTAGAATCAGTAGAAAGCATCTCTCCATGTTGGGAAGGTTTACTAACTTGCTTTATGGAATGAAGTAAAGGTAATTGTATGATTGTAGTATCTTGTTGTGATGTTGCAGTGTGGGTGTGGTTTATGTAGACCTCCTTCTGTGTCTTTCCTTATTAAAAGCTGAAATGATTGTGCCTTCATTGTACTAATATCTTAAAAATAATTATTAAAACCAAAATTACTTGTTGAGTAACAGTTGAGGAAGTATCTTCATCCACTAATTCAGTTTGATCAGTTTTATGAATATATATTACTATAAAATCATTCAAAGGTAAACAAAATAGAGGCTATTTATTGGCGTTAGAATATTCAGTATTTGATAGTGAAGTTTGTGCTTGTAGCATTATATTTGTAGTCTTGTGTAAGGCTGCACAGTGATCTGTATTTTAATCGTGATCATGATTTCTGCTTCTTCTGATGTTTAAGCATAATCGTCTGTGATGTTTCTCCACTGGTTATTTATCATTTGCTTTATCTTGCATTGGTAACAAGCCTCCACTGTCTTTCAGTCGGGCATCCTCTCTGAAATGTACACAGCACCCCCCAGTGGTGGTATAAAATGTATTCCCCACTGACAACATCCAAAATTCTAATTAGGATAAAACATTTGTGAATCTAAAAAATATGATGGCTTATAAATTTTGACTTTATTTATTGCTATATTTTTCAAAAATGATGACACCTTTAGAAATAAAAATTTGATATGCCATCAGTGATTATTTAAATTGTCTCATTCAATACTTAGAATCCACTAAATCAATGCATGTACATAAAGGTACAGAAATACTAACCAGACAGAAAATGTATAGTTAAATATAAATTTAAAACATCAGAATCTAACTGACATATTCATTTGTATGGATCCTGTTGTTTTTGGCAACATCTCATTTTAAGAGTCAGTCAGGTTTTTGTATGGTGTGTAGTGTTTTCCTGTCACAGTGGGCGTCAGAGCACAGTAGTACAGAGCAGATTCATTCATTGTCTAGCAGAGCATGTCTCCTGCAAGCACCTCCCCTTAAAGATACAGTCTTCGTATTCAAGTATCTGCTGTAATAGTGAATTTTATGTTTTTTTAATGTTTAATTCATTACCTTCTTTAAACAACACTATAGTTTAGTCTGTTGAGGTGCTAAAAACATCAATGTGTCTGGTCAAAACAAACAAACAAAAAAAACAACGAATTAATTTAACTGACAGGAAAATCCAGTCAAATAAAGGGGCACTTTAATCCGCATGAACACTGAATTACAGTCACTTTTTCATACCAATAATTACCTAATGAAACAATTATACTTTATTTAATTCATCATAGTTAAAAGGGGTCAATTTGGAAAAATAAACAAAACAACAAAGCAAAACTTGCAAGCAGAGCATCATTTTGCACAATGCTGTATTCAGCACAAACTATTGCTCAACAAATCATTAATTTTTTGCCACGTAGGAGGACGTCTCAGATTAACTCCTCTCCTTAAAGTTGCAGTCTATAATAGATAAAATAGCATTTGAAGCCTAGATATGACAGATATTAACATGCAGTTCAGGAGTTTTACTGTAGTACCACTAATAGCCTGATGTTTGTTGCTGACATAATGTATTAAAGAGACATTGAAACATTTGTTGTTCTATATTTTGGTCTCTTACTTTTAGTCAGTTTAGACCTACTGCTGACAGCATTAAAAAACTGTTTTATCCCCCCCATTGAAAACAATATTTTCAGAGTTTATTTTGTAGGAAGGTTTATTATGGCATGACAAAAACAATGAATTATCATCTTCCTGTATACTTTCCACATAAGCACACTTTTTTTTTTCTTCCAGCAGGTGTTACAGTATTGTGTTTGTGAAGTGTTGTGGTTTTACGCAAAATATGATTGTGGCTTAACTTTTATTTGATAATATTTTTAAAGGCAAAAACTACATGTGAGTTTTTGTAAAGCTTCTCAGGCATTTTGTATCACTGGGCTGCTACTCTTAGAGCACAATAATAGAGAGCTGAATCTGACAGAGTTACACTCTTAATAGTGAGTTCAGTAGATGTTTCTGATGTAATCGACTGAAACCGAGTGTCTGGTATATTTCCACGACTGCTCCATGTCCGGGCACCTTTATACAGTAAATATTCTGGTTCTCTGTTAGGATACTGTCTGTACCAGTAGAGATAGACATAATTGCTGCCTGTATCATACGTGCAGCTCAGCGTTACACGCTCTTCTTCTGTTCTGTAAATAGTAGTTTCCTTGTCTTTCGGTTGAATGCTGTCAGATAAAATACCTGCAAGAGATTTGGAGAGATTTCATAACAGGTCAGCTGGCTTGCCCAAAATTTCACAACATTTTTAAATTAAAATTACAATAATAAAAACAGTTTCTTCAACAAATGTGCTGTCGTTATAGTAATAGAGTAACATTAAAAAATGTTTGCATGGCCAAAACATTTTAATGTACATTATTTTTGAGTCTGCTCAGATTACATGTTTTATACCTGGAGTGGATATTAGAATCAGAAGAACGCATCTCTCCATCTCTCCAAGATTTACTAACTTCATGCTCTAGGCTTTATAAACTGAAGTTTAAAGGTAATTGTGTGATTGTAGTATCTTGTTGTGAAGTTGCAGTGTGGGTGTGGCTTATTTAGACCTCCTTCTTTGTTTTCCCTTATAAAAGCTGAGATGATTGTGCCTTCAGTGTATGAATATCTTAAAAATTCTACCTCTTGTTCAATAAGTATCTCCCTCTACTAATTCAGTTTTATCAGCAAGTGTGACTGTGACTATGTTTATTATGTTAATATGAAGATCATTTAAAGCTAAACCAAGTAGAGCCTTTTTGGTAGAGTTTAAATATTCAATATTTGATAGTGAGGTTTGTGCTTGCAGCATTAAATTTGTCCTCTCTGAAATATTTGAATGTACACAGCACCCCCTAGTTGTGGTGTGACAAACATTTATGCTCCCATTGACAACATCTGAGTCTAACCAGGATGATACATTTGTGAACATTTTAAGACTATAGAGTTAGTCAGGTTTTTTTATGGTGTGTAGAGTGTTTCCTGTGACTGTGGGCCTCAAAAGCACAGTAGTAGAGAGCAGAGTCTGATACTGCAGCAGAGGAGATGATCAGATCCACTCTGTTCTCTTCTTTTCTGTGACTGATGGATATTCCAGAAATTGGAAGATTAGCATGAGTAGTTGTTCCATAGTAATCCAGAATGAGGAACTGTGGTGGTGAACCTGCATATTGCCGATACCAGTGAAGACTATTAACAGAACCAGTGTAGTTACAAGAGAGTTTCACACTCTCAGTCTCAGTGGCAAATGCTGCATCACTGTATGGGGTGATGACATCTTTAGCTCTGTTACCTACGACAAAAGCTTATTTAAGCATGTTTAAAATGAGATATTGTCATGCAATGATAATGATTCATGTAAGAATTTACCTTGAGTTAAAGTCAGCAGTATAAGCACACAAGTGAACATGATGGTAGTTGCTGCTTGCATCAGTGATCTGTGATGCTGATTATCACTGAACTAATCTGTTTTACAAGCTGGTGTTAAGCTCCGCCTTTTGACATAACCCTCTTATAAAGCACAGAAATTAACATATATTATGATGGATTGATGCCTAAATCAGCTTGCATTTGTTATATTTCAAAGTAATGGCATTTCTCAAATTTTCAATTACTTAACAGAGGTATGATGTGTTTTTGCACAGTTTTATTCAGTTTCCTATCATTGTGGGCGTCTGTCAATTTAGCAGAGGAGATCTCCAGATCCACATATGTTTTTTCACATCAGTTTTCCAGAGAATCGAGGATCTTGATCTACAATTTTGGACTTTTGTGAAACGTTCTCTTTAGCATGGAATATGACTAAAAGTTATTCAGGAGCTGAACCGGGATATTGGCGATACCACTGCAGACTAATCGCTGAGGAGTAGTAACAGGACAGAGTTATATTGTGCCCCTCTGGTCCAAACACCTCAGTTTGGACTGGTGTGATGACATTCCCAAAACTGACATCTGCAGATAGGAAGACAGAATTCAAGTTTAAATCATGTAAATGAAAATTTCACATGCAACAGCAGAACAGTAAACAAGAAAATGATATAAATCTGATACTTTGGGGTTGAATATATTTACATGTTAGTGAACAGACTAAAAAAAAAAAAGCATAATTTTCAGGATGTTGTTTTAGTTCATCTGCAGGACAGTTGATTCAATAACATTGATTCACTATCTACTGTAGCACAGCATATCTCCAGCTAGCACCTCCCCTTAAAGATACAGTCTTCATATTCAGATAATCTGCTGTAAGAGTTATATTTATGTTTTTATACTGTTAAGTTAAAGCAGGTGTTACTATATCCTTTTATTCAGGATATGGTAACACCTGCTTTATATCCATATTTCAAATGTAATAAACACTTTTCTCTCACTTCTGCTGACTGTCGTATGTGGAAGCGTTCCGGCGGATTAAAACTGCAGATTTAAACTTTATTACGAACACACAGCTTTTGGCCTCATATGACATTAATTGACAAACTGGAGTCGCATGGATTACTTGTGTATTATTGTGATGTTTTTATCAGCTGTTTGGACTTCCATTCTGATAGCACCCATTCACTGCAGATCCAATTGGTGAGCAAGCAATGTAATGCTAAATTTCACCAAATTTGTTCCAATGAAGAAACAAACTCATCTTGGATCGCATAAGGGTGAGTACATTTTCAGCAAATTTTCATTCTTGGGTGAACTATTCCTTAAAAAAACGGAAACACATAGTTTACATAGTGATTTTAGCATGGAAAACTTTATTTTCAGATGCTCTCTTGTGGGAAGTTTTATTATGGCATGACAAAAACAATTATTGAAATTGTAATCTTCTTTTACAGTTTCCTCCTAAGCACAGTTCTTTTCTTCCAGCAGGTGTTACAATATTGTGTTTGTGAAAGAAGCATTGTGGTTTGCACAAGATATAACTGTGGTTTAATTCTTATTTGATCTTATTTTTTTAAAGACAAAAATTACATGTGAGTTTTTGTAAAGCTTCTCAGGCATTTTGTATCACTGGGCTTCTACTCTTAGAGCACAATAATAGAGAGCTGAATCTGACAGAGTTACACTCTTAATAGTGAGTTCAGTGGATGTTTCTGATGTAATCGACTGAAACCGATCTGGTATATCCCCATAACCGATCCGTGATCGGGCACCTTTATACAGTAAATATTCTGGTTCTCTGTTAGGTTTCTGTAAATATTAGTTTCCTTTGGTTGAATGCTGTCAGATAAAACACCTGCAAGATAATTGGACAAATTTAACAGGTCAGCTGGCTTCTCCACGCATCCAAAAACGCATTACATGTATAAATAAAAATTACACTAGCAAACCATTTCTTCAACAAATGTGATGTTGTTATTGTAGTAGAGTACCATTAAAAATGTTAGCATGGCCAAACATTTTAATATAAATAATATTTGAGTCTGCTCAGATTAAATGTTTTATACCTGGTGCTGTTATGAGAATCAG